GTTTCGTAGCAGATGAGCTAAACAGCTACGTCTTATGAACGCAACCAATAATGTCCAATCAAGGTAGTGGTTTATTATTAATAATTAAATATCCGTTTGTCCCAACTAAAAGTCTCAAGTAAATTGCAGACTTTCGCGTACTAGATATTTACTTCGTCATATCCGACTATGCTACTTGGTCACTATAACCAAATCTTAATTAATTAGGTAATTAAAACTAAACCTTTTTCTGGGTGTACTGTGTACTCTGTGAGCACAGCGGTAGCGGAGCAATGCTTTCAATGCACACAGTCCCATTCATTGAATCGTCTAAATTTATTAGTATGCCGCATTCTTTAGTGGTGGCTCACAATCATGAATATATTCCGGTCTCTAAACAAATCGAGGTTACCTCAACTAGGATTTGGGTGCTATGACTACTCCATTAATTAGTACTTACCAAACCCTTCAACTAAATTGACGATATGGTTCAACCTAGATGAAAATCAGCAGCTTTAATATATTTAGTTATAATTATCAAACCATGGTAGCAGTTCCTATTTCTAAGTAACAGAGCTCAAGCATTGTCAAAATTCGGGAGCTAAATATATTTTGTCGTCGAAACTAACCTTTTTTTCTCAGTGTATGCTCGATACTAATTGCACTTAAAATAAAAGAATAAACACTCAAAAAATAACAAAGTAAGTGCGCCTGCGCCACACTGGCGAAGTGAAACTTACGTTACATACATATCTATTATGTCTCATAATCAATATACATACATATATCTGCTTTTGCTTCAGGTTATATTTTTTGTCTTTTTTCTATCTAGAGCCCTACCTCTCCCCTGTCGTTCTAATTTTTGTTATCTGTTTTCCTTTATCTTCATTTTTATCTTCAAACTCTATCGATAAAAAATCGATAGTATCATCTAATAAAATAGCGATAACAAAATCGATGAAAAATTCGATAAAAATTTCGATAGCAAAATCGATAATAATATTGGTAGAAAAATATATTACAAACTCGATACAGATATCGACAAAAATATCCATAAAAAATTAATAGAAATATCGATAAAAATATCCATAATAAAATCGATAAATATCGATAACAAAACGGATAAAAATGTCGATAATAATATCCATAAAAAAATCGATAAAAATATCGATAATAAAATCGATAAAAATATCGATAATAAAATCGATAAAAATATCAATAACAAAATCGATAAATATCGATAACAAAATCGATAAAAAAAGATCGCTAACAAAACAGTTAAAAATGTCGATTACAAAATCGATAAAAATATCGATAAGAATTTCGATTATTATACCGATAGGTTCCGAAAATATCGATAGCAAAATTGATAACAATATTGATAAAAAATTTCGATAGCAAAACCTATAAAAATGTCGATTATGTTATCGATAAGTCCCTAGAATCCCGAAAACTCTAAAATCCCAAAAAGTTCTCAGATTGAGCACCTCTCTATATCCTTTCCTCTTTAATTACCTTTGTTGTAATCTTTCTTCCCCTATTTTCATCCTTACTTTTATCGGTATCCTCATCCTCCTCTTTGCCTTTACTTTTATGTTTATCATTTTCTTCATCTACATATTCCCCTTCACCTTTGCCCTTATATAAATAAGTGTTTAAATTTACCTTGGTCTTCATTTTTGCCTTTATCTTTACGCATCTTTGTTTTTGGTTTTTATTTTTACCTTTGCCTTTATCCTTTTCTTTATCTATGTACGTTGTTGTTGTTGTTGTAGCGGCTACAACAACCCCGCCCAGATCGGTTGGTATCTCAGTCGTTGTCGTCAAGTTCCACTAACGGCAACCCTAGGAAGCGTGCAGCTTCTGTGGGATCTGTCCACAGGGACAAGGCCGTTAGGGTTGTCGGGTTTTCCGGGCATGCGAAGAGATGGTTCGAGTCATGTGGGGTCTCTCCGCATGCCGGACATTCGTTCGGCACATCCTCATTCAGCCTACTCAAGTAGGAGTTTAACCTGCTGCAGTAGCCGGAGCGAAGTTGAGCG